GCGAAGGAACCATTTTTCTTTTCATCGACAAAACGACCAAGTGATGGGAGGAGAATTGTCTTTAATTCGGTGCTGTGTAACTAATTCTGATCGTTTTGGAAGGTATATTGTTTTTTGCATAAAATTGGATGACAAAAAAAATCATATTTAATTATTCACATTTCAAACGCTCACGAGGGCAGAGAGTACAGAGTGATTCATTAAGGACAAGACAATCATTTTGTATTAAAACAATTGCAATTATGTAGTTTCTTTATGGAAATACTTTAGCTTATGTTTATGAAAAATACAATTAACAAAAAAAGATAAATATTTAGTAATTGTATAATATTGTAAAATAACAAAAAACAAAATGTAACAATAACAAAAGAAAAACTATAAAATTGCAATTATTTTAGGAGATTATTATTTTCAAGACAATTATGTAGTACACATACAAATAAAAATAAGAAATAATACAAACTAGTTTTGATTAAAAAAAACACTTTTGAATTTAACACTACCATTGTGGATGATGACGAACGCGCATTACTATAATTTAGTATTATTTTTATTGGAATATTTACACTAAAATTACGTTTACTGGACTCAGTTGATTGAAACATAATATATTTTATTATCCAATTCGAATTATCAGATTGGCTTTTTTGAAGCAGTTCCTAAAGTAATCGTTTCATAACGTTCTTTTGTTAAGTCAGTATTAATCCTTGTATTTGTCCTGGGTATGTAATTTTCTGTTAGATTTAAAAAAAACAAAAACGTTAAGAGTTAAACATTTTAGCACGAATGATATTAATATATTGTACAGCAAGAGATGAAATTAAGTCATTAGCAACACGAAGATGAGTACCATGTACATATACCATGTACCATGTATTGTGACTAAAAAGATGAAAAAACAAATTGTAAAAAATGTCAACAATTAACACATTTTTTCGGCCCTTATAAGGAAATTTAACATCATAATAAGAAGACCGAACAACTGTTATATTATAATTAAAAAAATGTACAAATCTAAAACCACAACATAATATTTATCAGACATAGCTAAGAGATAAACTAATAGTAAAAATAGTGAGCTAGCGTTGGTTGAAATAGTTTAGGCATTTCTTCATAACCATCTCAAAATATATATATATATAATTATGCTTACTGTGGTAAATAAAAAGGCCTCGAATTTGGTTCCCACCACTTTTCTTATTAAATTCTCGAGTAAACTTTTCATTAATCACAGTATATAGTAATATGTACATATATGCTAAAATTCATAAAAATTGTTTTATTATTTTCAGAGTACAAAAAAAAATTGTTAACTTGTTTTCTTTGGAATTATTTTATCTACATAATTAGTTTTCATAGAGTTTACATTATCTGTTTTTTTTTCTTTTAATTATTCCGGTATAAATCAACGATGGAGGAAATTTTAAGTCGTTCGATAGCAAATTGGACATAAAACTTTATTTTAAATATTACTTTATTTTATGGCACTGTGTAAAGAAGTCTGCTATAACGCTGCTGCGGTGGGATAAAATCGCACATAAATTGTACTGAAATAGCTTTTTAGGACTAAACTTTGAAAATATTGTCAATTTATCGGTTTATCGATAACATACAGTATTCTATATTGGAGCTATTAATTAGATTAGTTTCGTGACAAACACAATATAGCAGGTGAGTGTCCTTAAGATTTATTTATTAAGGGATTTATATAAAAAAAACATTGCCGCACTAAATGTGATGTAATGTTGGCTCGTCGTTCCATCTTGTAGTTTCTCTGTAGCAATAAGGATTGCGTTTATAGGTACTATTTTTTTGAACACAGAAAATATTCTTTTGGAGTTATTTATTTATTATCGTTCTACATTGAACTTGTACAATAAATAATAAATAACATGACACCGTTACGAATTAGGTACACAAGTCACAATACATAATATAACCAAACTGTCTGTTAAAAAACTTAGCATACAATTTATTATTAACAAAGCTGCAACCACTTATTTTAATGATATTTTCAGTGGCGTTGGGAGTGGAATTGTGTATATTAAATTTAATTCTGAACACACAAATTCGAATCACATATTTTATTACTGACAGCACCTACTGACTACTGTCTAGTGTGACTTGTACCTTAAGAGCAATGAATACACGTTTTTGATATTTACAAGGTTTTAACTTTTGGCAGATAAGGTACTATGGTATACGTTAGACAATGGCGGCCTAATTGGTTCGAGAGTTTTATATTTTGTCGATTACACAAATATAATATAGTGTAAGGAGAGAATCCGATAAAATTATCAGTGAAAAACAAGTCGTTTACTTAAGTTCGGATACCTATCCCCTTGTTTGTCTTAATTTTGACTTGTTTACCGTAATAATCTTAGAATAGTACAATTATAAATTTCGAAACTGTTTTGTATACAAAAACAATGAGCTTAATGAGAAAAAATATTATGTATGATTTGATATTTTAACAAAAAAAAAAGTTTTTTTTCATTTTTATTCATCATTGATTAATACACTGTCGATGGAGCATCTGCTAACGGACAACAATAGCTACAGCTATCAAAAACTTACACGATGAAACTTCCCTTAAACTTTTTAGTTTTTCTTCTGATTTATGTTAAGGTCGTGCCACACAATATAATCAAAACTTTTATAATAGCGGATTATTTGATTTTTATACACAAACAAACATTTACTTGCTTTCTAAAATTGTCACCTGAATCCCAAAAATCTTTTGAAATCAACCAACCGATTTGTACACCGAAAGTTTAGACACAGAATAAATTAATTATGTGGCTTAGGAGCAAATGAAGGGTACAAGGAAAAAACCAGCAAAGTCACTTTTTAAAAATGGCAATTTTTTGTTATAAAATTCGTTTTGATACAAAACGAATCTGTTCTTTACTTTTAAGCACGATTATAAACAAACATTATTTTCAAACATATTTTAGAATTTTTTAAACATATTTTTCTTAGATTAGAAAAAAGTGACTTTTCTGGTTTTTTCCCTGTACCTTTCAAATGAAAACGTTATCTGCATGTACACAATAATGTATGATGTTTAAAACAAACCATAATACTATAACACTGTATGTCTTTATTTTCAAGGTTCTCATTTCTCTTTGATCTTCGAATGTCGTACACTCGTGTATATAATCAAAATTGCTTCACATAGGGCTATCTGCGCCAAGATGATAATTTTTCTTTTGCATCCCAAACCGTGACCTCAGAGTCCATTATCATGAAAAGCCTTAATTACCGTTCTCTCTTAAACCCCCGGCGGTAGAGCTGTGGTAATATATAGGGTTGTGGAATGTATATAATATGTATGTGTGGGGGGGGGGAACCAAATGAAGTTCTTCGGAAAAAAGTGATTATATATTATTATTATTATATTGTACACACCGACTTCGTCAGGTTTATTTTTTATTTTTTAGACGGTAAGCATCGCGCTTAATTAATCATGGTGTCATAATCCCGTCATCGGTTTCCTTTTCATATTTTTTTGTCCCTCGCTTCCGCCCTTGCCGACCGGGGTTAAAGCATTATATTTTTTCGCCCTTTCCTCCCCCCACCGCACGCATACTGTATTTGTATATCCTAAAAGAATATCGCCGGCAACGACCTTCTCCAATTTTCCTTTAATCCTTTGGCGAGAGAAATTAATGAAAACGCTTTTCAATGCGCGCAAAGGTCGGGATCGGTACAAAAAAAATTAAAAAAATGTTTTTTTTTTTATATACTTGCCCCGTCGTGGGTTTAAGTGCATAATACCGGACTCGTTCGGTTCTTCTGCATTATGTACTCTATCGGTTGTATATTATAATATGTAATCCGTCATCGGTTAATTATTATTATCGAAAACGGTCTTGCATAATATTATTTTTCATCCACTATCAATGATCCGGCGGCGAACGATTAGTCACAGCCCAACCAATTAGTCCAGTCGTCGTGTGACCCTATAGGTCTTGATGTAAATACTATGACGGGTATAAAAAATAATCATAAATTATTAGTATATAATATATATATATATATATATAGGTGAGTGATAAAGGAAAGAGGGGAGAAGGTGGGAAAGGTGTAATCTGATATGCTTATAACGGACAGTGCAATCGCAATTCAAGGCGATTCACGCAGGACAGGCAGTATTGTTGTGTGCTATATTATATATCCCTTAAACGAAATAAAACTTGATAAATTCAACCCGGATACTTGGGGGTGGCTATTGTTTCATTTTGAACGTCACGATGATTAATAGGACATTGCCTGCCGGCCGTGCGGTCAGATCTAACGGGATTTGGTCGACGTCAGAAATGGAATTTGTTTTATAGTTTCTTCTTGCTACACGGGGTTAATGATAATTGTGACCGAAATTCTTTGCTCGTGCTCATTTCCCAGACTTAAAAACGGACCAATTCGTGAAATGAAAAAAACAAAATTTTTTTTTAATACTTCATGTCGAACGTTTACGGTTTGCTTGCGCTAAAAAGCAGCCCAATAGTTAATGATCAACTGTTAAATTTGTCTATTTTCTATTTAATTGATGTTACTTAATTGTTACTTCTATTTAATGATGTAATATTTTGAAATAAAACACAATTTTGGTATTCAACTTTGGGATTTTATTGATGTAGAAAACTATGTTTTGGTTTAAAATATGACCACTGAGGATATCATAATTTGCTGTTACATTCAAATAGCGCCCATACACTAGGACAAAAATATAGTCGAATACCTACTTAGAGTTGATTATCGACTAATGTTTTTTGGTATTATTCTTAATAGTGTACTAACTTAATTTCATTCGGTCACTATGGTTACTCGATTATTGCTCGGCCGTTATTGTTTAATAGTTTTACCGTATTTTGTATACAAAGGTTTGATCAATATGGTAAGTGTAATGAAAATAAGTGCATTGGCCTCCGTTGCAACTAACGCAACGGCAGAACCGTAGAAATTAATCAGTCGAACGTTTGCTAGATTACCGGGACGGGTTAGGCGTTACCAGGAGTTTAAATTTTATGTAAATGATAGCTTAAAAAAAAAATAATAATAATAAAACAACAGGGCTGAGTGAACTCAACAATAAAGGGTTGAGTTGGTCATTAATCATTCCAATATTAGACGAGCTATCGCTTTGAATAAGCCGTTCGACATCTGACGTTTTTATTCGGTGCAGACACTATAGTGTAGTAACTTTATAGTATATGATTACTGATAAGTGATAATATTCCGTTAAACCGTATCGTACAACGCGATAATTTTAATAATGACCAGCGAAGTAGAAGACACCCTGAAACGCATTCAATCTCACCGTGGAGTAATCGGCACAATAGTTGTGAACGGCGACGGTTTGTATCTTTCAAACGCGACCTACAATAATATGGAATTGGATACTTCAAAATAAAACAAATAATTTTATAATTGATATTTTTTTTTTGAATAAGTGATGTATTTGTATTTTTGTTGTTTTAGGTATTCCTATAAAATCGACATTGGACAATACGACGTCGGTCCAATACGCAGGTTTAATTCAGCAGTTGGCCGACAAAGCGAGAAGCGTTGTAAGAGATTTAGATCCGTCCAACGATTTGATGTTCCTGCGCATGCGTACGAAAAAACACGAAATCATGGTAGCACCAGGTAAGTATTTTATTTAACTGTAATTTTTCAAATTTCTATCAACACAGGTCTGTTAAGCGTTCACATAAGCATTTATTCTTATATTACATATTATTATACGTACTTATTTTTTCCTTTTTTTCTAACTCCAAGTAAGATATGGGCTAGTGGATGTATCTGTTTCGCAACGCAGTGACAATTGAATAGTAATAGTACCTCGCGATAACATAATTATCGAATTTTTGTTACGACAGAGTTGACTTTAAATACAATTCCCATTCAAATGCAAAGAAAATTAGCTACGTTCCAATAAAAATATTTTCCGATTTATGATGGTAGGTATACCTAAGGAGTCTAGTTAAGGTAATACACTGCGTGTGATTTCCAGTTTTCACATTTATATAAAAATACAACCAACTACCAAATATTATACAAGAGTTGTATGGTTAAAAAAAACCTGGAAGTTCATGTTTATAAATAATAAAACTTCTTGTAAGTTCTTGGATAGTAACATAAAAATGCATAAATAAATAATAAGCGTATGTCTTATCCATGTTGTTTCAGACAAAGATTTTATAATGATTGTGATACAAAATCCAACTGAAGCTCAACAATAAATAATTATATTAATGTAATATATTAAAGAAATAATAAGGAATATTTTAATTTAAAAAATATTAAATACACATTAACTTTAATTAGAATTTTCTTTTTAACATTATTAGCTGAATGTATAATATCTGTTAACATAAATTACAATACATGTGTATTATGTTATATCGTATTTCTTTAATTAAAAAAATATGTAAAACAATAAATAATACTTACATACATTTTTCAAAATTATACTTATAAAAAAAAAAACTTTTCTATAATTAAGCATACATTCGATATCTAGTACAATGATACTGGGAAAATAATTTGTTTTATTATTTATTTAGCATTTTATAAATTCTTCTATAGTTTTTTTTTAAGTTAAATATATTAGTGTTTACTCTCAAAACAATATACATATTTACTCATGAAACAGTTACATTTTTATTATGGAAATAATCATGTCAGCTTGTTGGCCTAATATATTGGTTTAATTATGTATGTAAATAAACGACTATATAGTTCATACAACATGTTATTACATCCTATAAAGACAATTAAAGGCGATTTTATTGGATAGGACGAGGATGCCATGCTTTTAGCGCCACCAATAAAAAACAATCTTGTATAATGTGGATTATTTTTTTTTTTAATGTTATTAAAATTAACGCGAAGGTAGAGTATAATTTGAGCGAAATGAGAGATAAGCAAATAATGATTACATTTGAATTTAAAGTTGTATTGAATCACGGATATTTAATGTACTTAAATACCTTCTTAGCTCCTTTGCATCGACGCCATAATTACTTGAAGAAAAATATAATCGTCGGATGGCGAGCCAGTAAAAAGAAGGATAGAAGAAGGAGAACAAAGAGTACGCCAAAAAAAAAAAAGCAATTTAATTAATGAAAATCTTTGTTGTTCATAATACAATGTGCATAATGTAATTGTCTCTAATCAATTTATCGTGCTTTATCGTTTAGTTAACGCCGTTAGTTTAAACAATAATGGGAGGAATCTATTATTCAGAATAGATGACTTATTGAGTTAATTCAATCGAGAGGTTAACTTCTCATATTTTCGATATCTTTAACGACACATACATGTAAGTATATTAGTTTTTCAGTGAATTTAAACCGTCCCCTGACCGCGTATCGCTGTAAATTAGCTCAAGTCGGTAAACCCGTGTAATATAATATATTCTTAATATAATAAACTACAATATATATATACATAAACATCATGTCATTGTGTTGCCGGGCTGTACTGACGTTGGACAATGGAGGTGTGGTGTTTGTGCGCTAAATCGAAGTAACTAATGCCAAAGTTTCCGGGGGCTACTAAAGGCTGGCTCGACGAAGGGTCCGTCCGCTTTGGAGAGTGAAAGAGTGAGAAAGAGAAAAGAAAACCTAATGTACCGAGATAAGGGTCTTAAGTGTGTGTATATATGTACCCATGTAGTGTGTACACGACGGGGACCGGGTGGGTCGAAAGAATAGGGAAATAGGTTTTGGGCGAGGTGACGACAAAATGGGACTTTCATTATTTCAACGGCGTAAGTATACCGAGTACACAGTAGTGCGCTGAGTGAGAAATAATTTCGTCAAATTCCGCGTGTGGAAGTTTAAGGTACCGATCGAAGCGGCTTAACTTTTATTTATATATTTTTTCCCTCTCGCCCAAAAAAGTTCTCACTCCCCCCCTCGCTGTTATTTTGAAGGCGAAAAGAAAAGGAAAAAAAAAAAGGAAAGAAAGCAGCCGGGTAAGGGCGGGAAAAAAAATTCCAAGACGATCGAGCACCCCGGGACTTTGTCGATAATTTATCGGGTATAACGGCCGTTGGAAACGCAGAAAGAAACAATATCCGCGGCGAGTCGGTGGAGGTGAATTATTGTTGACAAGTGTCGAGTCGTTATCTTTTCTCTCTGTCTTCGCTCGCCTTCTCTCCCTCTACATAAGCCCTCTATTTCACCTTATCACTGCAGCGACTATGGGTCGTTTTTAAACAAAATTAAGGGTTTCGCTAAAAGGTTTCCAAGCACATACACACACACACACACACATAGAGTATACAATGTTGGATTTCATTTAAATATTGGACGAATGCCTAATAACTACTAAAACCGTATCCCGGGACGGTTAAGTATAAGTATAAGTATGATCAAAATTAACGATCTATTCGAGAATTTCTATAAAATGAATACAAATCTTTTCCCGTGTCGATTGCACGGTATAATACGCAATTTAAACATTGTTTTATGTTGTCGATAGTTAAGTATAATTTTTCAATAGCATAATATGTACCTATCAAAAATTAGGGAAAAAATTGTTATTTACCAGCTTTGAGTTTACTATTGACATAATAATGACGATTATGATGCTTGCTTAAAAACAATAACATATCAGTCGAATATAAAAAAATAGTTCATTTTAAAAGATTATTATTATATTTTGTACATTTTGTTACGTTACGGGATAACAGAAAGCGCTATTTATTAAGGGACAAAGGATAGGCAATATATGACAAAAATTGACCCAGTAGCCATTTTTAATATGCCGAATAATTTTAAGGTGAAAAAATATTAAGTTTTTCTAGTTATAATACTTTTAAAGTTATTTTTCACCGAGTTATGTCAAAAGTTTGATAAAAAACTACTTTGGTAGAAGTCGTTTTCTGGCGTTTCTATTGGACGGATTTCAATTTTTATTTTTCATAAAAAAATAAATATATGTAAACATACATGTTTGAAATAATACACCCATTTTCGTTAATAAAAACCTGGGTTGCTAGGTTTTTCATTCTTTCTGCTGTTCTAAGGTCATGTAGGAATTTGTAGTAATAAATACATACACAAAACGTCTCGGATAGGCGCATTAAAGTAAAGTTTCATGTTTTTTTATCGAAGACATGAGATATAAAAAGTATGTATACACACTGAACAAATATTATTGTTTATATTTTTAGTTAGGAGAGAGAAGTCAAGTTTTAGGTAACATGATATTGCACGGTATTGAACCTTGATTTACATTTGAATATCACAAATATTAGAAATAATGTGAGAGACTTTCGGGTGGAAGCTAAAATGCTTTTGGTTAAGATTCAAATTGTTCATTATTTTATTTATTTAAATAACCATTTTTTACTATTTACAATCATACAATCATACATATTATTATGGTTTATCTACCTCCTGTAAGCAAAGCTTGAGTGAGAGGCAGAGAGATATTATGGAGATTTAATTACATTTTACTAATATTATTTACATATAATATACAATAATAAACAAATATAACAGCAAAAACAGAGAGAAAAAAGCAAATATTATTTTGATAATAAAAGAACACCCTTTCTAATAAATAACAAATACAGTATAACCTATGTACAAATTCAACCCCCCCCCCCCGTATAGGATACAAGTTTCATATTCATCATATTGATTTGAGTACAGTCGAGACACTATTTTTTTCGATGTTAAATTCCGTTTTTATTGGATGCTCACTGTTCAAATGAAATTCCCAACTTTGACGTTAATCTTTAGTACTTTTTAATTGAATTCCGACCGATTTCTGCCACGAGTTAAGCAGGGTTTTTGATTTACCCTTAGTAAACTAGGCATAAGCCTGTAGTCAAAAACTTTCTTACAAACCCCTTAAAGGTTCAAAGTAACAAAGTATAATATATTGTTTTTTCTTTGTTTTATATACATTTCCGCATGCGAACACAACTGAGTTATGTACTATTATTATTAAACCAATCATCTAATGTAATCTAGGTAATTATAATATATTATGTATACAGAGTTGTGTGTGTTTTGATAGCTTCTAATAGCATATCTAAAAGTAGGTTTAGTTTTGAGTAGTAAATTTATCAGTATCCATACTTGAATTAAAAATGTAAACACGTGTTAATCTATTAAGTAAAGTCCTACTTGTACACAATATTCTCGAAAGGGAACATTTATATTTTTTCTAATGTTTTTAACGAGAAAATGTTACCACTTAAAGTGTATATTAATGAACAATTAGCTATTAAGTTATTATTCATCGTAATTTACAACAACGCATTTACCAGATTATCAATTAATTATTTTTAACAGCTAACTTGAGTAATTACTGACGACAAGCCTTTTGTTTTATACCTTATGCCACTCAACTCAAATTTAAAAAAATAGTTAACAACATCGTGAAAACGCTTTCCTCAGTCATAATCAACGTATATATTCAAAAAGCTATAAATACAATAAGAGAACATACAAAAAATAGATAAGCTTCATTTTGCCTGCGAAATAGCAGGAATTACAGACAATAAGAATGAACGTACAAAAAAAAACGGAAACATTTGTACGTAGAAAAGAAAACAATACCAAAATATGAGTAAGGAAATCTAATAATAAAACGAGCACATATTTAGGTATTGTTATTAGAAAAGATAATAATAAGATATAATAAGTAAGAGAAAAGCAATGAAACGTATGTGTCAAGCAAAGATAGCTTTTACCGTCTAAAAATCAGAAAAAACTTAATGAAAACAGACATATGGTCTGTGGTAAAGTGTTATATGAGACCGAAGAGGTGACAACAGAGGAATGAAAAACAAATATGAGAAGCGTTTGAAGTATGGTGTTATAGAATAATGATAATACACATAGGCGCACAACTAGACCTACTATTTAGGGGGTGCCAAACCTAATTATTATCTTCAAACCATTAGATATAAAATAATATATTTGAAAACAAAAATATTCTAAAATATACATTTTGAACAGAGTATGTACATTATTAAATTTGTATGCGCACATATCAACAATTAGGGTTTGAATTTTTGGGGATGCTTAAGTCCCCGTAGCATCCCCCTAGGTACGTCTATGATGCTAAAGATAAGCTAAATGGAGGGAGTAACAAATAATGGCAGTACCAAAGAGAATATTGTTTAAAAAGGAAGACTAGTATGGAAGAGTTTGCTAAAAACACTTAATGAGTGGATAGGCCATGTAATTAGATACAAGGACATATTAAAACTGATTACTGGAGGAAGGGTAGTACTAAGGAGAAAAATCTTCTTTGGAATACATTCAACAAAATAAAAATGACCA